TCCAGGCCGTATGGCGCGCCGGCGGTTTCAGTTATGTGCCAAATGCAGTCCATTTCCCATGCTTTGCTGAATGGCGGTCTCATGTGCAGCAACAAATCCCAGATTTTGGTACCGTCAAGCCCTTTCTCTCATTGCTTTCCATTGTTGGGAGAGGAAGAGCCTTCTTTCTCTTACCTATGGACCTTTTCCACGTAGCAGCTTCCATACTGCACGAAGTCTTCCTCGGGAATGGCTTACCTTAGAATTAAAAATGGAGTCCCGCGCGCTCCTTAAATGGGGGCTCTTGACCGGGTCCTTTCGGTGCGAAAGATCAAACCCTACGCCCACTGCCCTTGTTCCAAGATCTCACTTCATTCACGTATCTGCCTCCTTTGTTTCAGAGCTAGCGAAGGGGGTGACTCGACCTGTAGACGGTGATACCGCCATTCTCAAAAAAAAGTAGAGGAAGAGATATGCCTATGTATGATAGGGCCGTAAAGAACTCTCTTGAGCCAACTTTCGGGAGGCCAGTTCAGGTTCTCTTTAGAATTTTTATTGGTATACTTATTATCGAATGCAATCCATTCGTATTTTATTCTTTTTTTCTTGCCTTAACTTTGCTTTGTTTGAAATACAGAACTGAAGACGAAGGCGAAGGAAGCTCCAGCCCAAGGATAAAGAGAAAGAAAAAAAGCAGCCGGTCGAATCGATTTCGTCCGACAAAGAAATGATCTCTACATTTCGTCATGGGATGAGGGGCAACTAGAATTCCGACGCCCCTCCTACTTACTCCTCCCGAGGTCACTTCCGGCTTACAGCGGGCTGCTATCATCCCTCCTTTGGCAGCGATCCTTTGAATTTCACTACCAGTCCTAGCTACGGATACTGACTATAGAGAACTTGAATCAGAATCTCTTTCACTCCCGGCTGAGTCAACAAGACTTATGACAACAGACGGAAGAGCCTCTCTTTTCTCTAGCCTTTCGGCTTCCGCTCCTATTTTCATTTCATTACCTACCTCGATGTGTTCTTTTCTTCACTATTTAGGTAGACTTTTCAGAGAGTTCTTTTTCTAGGAGTTTGCGGATTGATTCCCTGAGTCTTCTTCATCGAAGACTCTTTCCAAACAAGGACTAGTCTCATTGAATGAGAAATCCCTATTCCTAGGGGAAGTTCTGCTCGTTTCACTTCCTCAGTTGAGTGATAAAGAATCAGATTGGCTGCTTCCAGGCATTCTAATGAAGTTCTATCATTCCCAAGGGTAGACCCTGGTTTTTAATCTACGCCCAATTCTTGGCTCAAGAGTAACTGCCCCCTTTTCCCAATCAGCCGGGAATAATCTCATAGTCAAGGAGAAGAGGGAAGAACGAGGGCAAGCATAAGAAGAAGCAGTCATTGAAGAAAAGAAGACAAAAAGGTCCGATGGATGAAGATAACGATCAACGGAAACTACCGGCTATGAAGCTAGATGGCATATAATAAGGTTATGCCAATCCAATATAGATGGCTTGCCTGGCAGGTGAAAGAATACCTGTTGCCCTGGATGTTTGGTGGCCGATGCACAATCTTTCTTTCAGCCGTCGCGCTGATAAGAAGAAGAGTTCTGAGGGGCTTTAATGGCTTATTAGATTAGCCGAGAAACTTCTTTGGATGTCTTGAAGTGAAGAAAGAGTACCAAGAAAGGCTAATGGTGTCCGAGGCTTCTTACCTCTCCCCCGAGGGAGATTGAGGGGGGTAACTTGCCTTTCCTACCCCACTTAGACAAGGACACTTATCGAATGCGAAAAGGTATTCTTGAAAGGAAGCGTAAAGCACCTCGACTTGGCTCGTAACCATTAGAGTAGATCGTTTGAGCTTTCTGGGGAAGACTTTTCGATCTTTCTAAAATCTAGGTAAGTCGAAGGGTATTCCACAAGGGTATTCTCTGGACAAGAGGAACCGGATAAAGAGTAAGGTTTGGGCTAGGTCCTTGCGATCCTGCCACCTCTTGGCAAAGTAGGCTGATGGGCAAGCCCCCTCTTTTCGCAATGGTGTGGGGCGTCAGAGGCTGTTGCCCCATGACCAACTCGAAGGGGCTGAAGTTCGAGGCAGAGCTTTTTGGTTGTTAAGTTATAGCAGCACTGAGCAACATCCAACAACTCCAGTCCTTCTGGTTTGCACTAAAGTGCCTTAAGTAGCCCTCGAGGAGTCAGTTTATTCTCCCCGTCTGAGCTTTCAAAGATATACCGACCATAGGTATCTTACCATCAGATACCGACAGTCGTCTTCTAACAAAACCGACCTTTAAATATCGGGGTTTCATCAATTTCACATAACATAAAAAAGCTCTTTTCATCATCAGAAACAACTTGATTTCCGACCTCTTGCATTGCATTACCATAACGAAAAGAAAAATGAATTCAAAAAAGAGAGATTGCTCTTGTGATTCGAAATGAACCTTTCTCGATGGAGGAAAGGAATAGCGATGGATTCCTATGGAGCATCCAGGAACAAGAAGATTCAATCGGACGACGAATTCTTACGTGGAAAAAGGAAATCAAAGATCCGCTTCCACGATTTCATCTATATCGAATCTTAATATCAGAATAGCTTATATAGTCGTCATGATTCAATTCATGAATTAGCCCACTAGAGTTCACTGCATTTTTTTTTAATTTATAATAAATTATATAAATATATAATATCATTCGTGTCTCTGTTACAACACGGCGAAACTCAATAGTTCGAATGAAATCCAATGAGAAAAAAGAATATAAGAATTTTTAGGCGCCTAATTTTCCTGGGATTGTAGTTCAATCGGTCAGAGCACCGCCCTGTCAAGGCGGAAGCTGCGGGTTCGAGCCCCGTCAGTCCCGACCTAGGATCCAATGAATCTCTCCATTTTCTGTGAAGAGGTCATCAAAGAGAGTCCAGTTGCCTCCGAGAAGTGCCTAGGAGAAGGTCTCGGACTCTCCAAGATAGGAACCTTGAAGCCCCTTCATGGTAAACCACTAGTGGCATGCTTTACGGGCAATCTAAGGCAGCCTCTAATCTTTCTGATTTTTTTTCCTCAAACCAAAAAGAAAGGCAACTATCAGATCTACAGACCGTGGAGCTGCAGTCAAGCTGCTCTTTGTTGCGACTTCTTCCTTTGCTCTATCTATAGACCCAGCCAGGATCAATGAATGACAGGACTATGGAACCATTCTACTAGCTAATCCCAATCCGATGGCTTTGAGAAGGGCGATATGCTAATACTGGGGTGGAAGATCTCGACGGAACTCAATCCAACCACAAAAAAGAGTATCCGATTTTGATTCAAATCCTGAGTCGATGGATGGGAAGCATGGGCCAAGACAAGGAGAAGCTCCGTACCCACCAAAGCAAACGAAAACGCTTGCTTGAGACCTTTTATGCCTTGGGGTGGTGCCCATTCTCTCTCTTAAGTGATTCCACGTCAGAGCTTGATCCGCTACCGATCAGGAAGTGCGTTCGGCACTCGTAATACTAGCGAGAAGCTTCCCTTGGGATTGTTTTCCCAGGCATCCTGCCCTAGGACCAATCCTTCTTTCCACGCTCCCAGTTATTCTGGTTGGTTATTCTTTAGTAATGCATTTGTGCCTGACCCTTGCAATTCACTTTCAAAGGTATACTTTGACGCTGCTCCTGTTACCACCTAAATGACTACTCAAAACAACACACTTTCTTGGTTGAGCTGATGGAGACTATTCAAGAATCCTACCCCCGGATCTTACTAATAAAGAAAGCGCCAGGACAGAACAACAAGTGCGGAATCCCATCCTGCTGCAGGGATTGGAAATTGCGGAATATCAGGATTTAGGCTCTTGCAAAGAAGGCAATTCATTCGTAGTAGGATATTGAAACCTCAAACCCTCTCTGTCAACAACATCGAAAAGATTAGGACGAAGGAGCTCGAGCTCTCTTCCATATTCAATTCTCGGAAGAAGATTCTCAGAAGCTGATTCTACGCATCAGACTAACTGGAGTTCATGCTTTCCTGCGTGAGACAAAGGAAGCAAATTGACTTACTCGGCGGGAAGGGAAATGTTGGACTTGTCCTCCCTCTCAAAAGAAGGTTCATTTCAGCTATAGAAAAAGAAAAATCACATTCTTCAATCGGCGAAGCCTCACATCCTGTTCCTGTTTCCTTAGACCAGGGAAGATTAGTTTCTTAATGAGAAAGAGGAATTGAAGAACCCGGCTCATTCACCAGAAAGAAGCCTAAGAAAGACCTATCCGGAAACAAAGAGGGTTTCGTAGCTGATCTGCCGAAAAGAAAATACAAGGGGGTGCACTCTTGGCTAATCGGTCTTTCTGGCAAACCTATCTTCTAGGGTGGCCGATTCTCCAGTGCTATCTTCTGTTTTCTTTGCTCTTTCCTCTTTATGAGGAAAAAGACGGGGGTTTCATGAAAGTGGCACTCTTTTTATGTCACTTAGGAAGGGAAAATGCATTTAGACGAAAAACACGCTGTTTTCTAAAGTTGTCCGATTTCAATTGACGTCTAGGAAGGGAAATTGACTTGATACCAAAATCACGGGGAAAACGCTCCAATGTCACCATTGAAGTCTCACTTAGGAGGGAAATCGGATTGCAAGCAAAAATCCCGAGAAAATGAAAGATTAGTCAGATCAGGGGGAAGCTGGTGCTATAGCCGTTGTTCAAGAATGGCTTTTGTTCAATCAGACGCTCTTGCTTAAAAAGCTCTAGTAACCGGTGCTTCCTATTGATGCGACGGTAACTCGAGATAGAATCTCTACGCCCTGAAGAATTCCTACCAGCGGGCTTCCCTGTACTCAAAGTGAATTGTCTCAGTGCCGGGCTTTTGATCAATTTCCCATCTCTCGACGATACTTTAATAAGAGCTCCTCAAAAAGGGGTAACCTTTTCTCTCAATCCAATCTCGGATTTACAAAGCCAGAAGAGAGACAGGAGGATCGCTCCCTTTAGCAAGTCTTCTTAAAGCAGGTATCCGATGTTAGTTCAAATAGGAGCTCTTCTTACCTCAAAAGGGAGTTCGCTCAGTGACCCAGTTCTTTCTTTGAGCCGAGCCAAAGCCAAGTAGTTCGGCTAAGCTTCATGGCATTTATAAGGCTCTGTAGCCGGAGTAGAAAGTCAGGAAAAGGAGAAGAGAGAAGGAGCTTTAAAAGAGAACTACACTTTTTCACCCAATGGAAGCCCTTTGTCAAGAGTGGGAAAGGCCTTCACGGAATGAGAAGGGCATCTTAAATGAAATCGATCCCATACCCGCGATTGCGATTGAGGAGTTTTCCCAGCTCAAGGCACCAAGATGCCCGAGTGCGCCATGGTACTTTGACCTTTCTGGTGAACTTGCCCACCTTCTTTGGTGATTTATTGCGCCCAAGATGAAGAGCTCTTACTTTAGCGGATAGACCCAATCCCACACTCCCTTCTGCCCTGCTGGATAGGTAGTTGGAGAGAACCCAGTTAGCCTGTCACTCGCACACCCTTTCTTATGCCCTTCTAGCCTCGCGTGTATAAGAAGGTAGGCTTACTCTGAAATGCCTTGAGAACAGCGGAGTGAACTTCTAACTCGAAATTGCATAAGAGAAGAAAGCGTAGAAAGAGGTTCAGAAGTACTTCACTAGGTTCTACCAGGTAAGAAGGTCAAATGCTCTTCTTTTGTCAGTTCTGGTAGATTACTTACACATTGGATCGGGAAGAGAGATGGGAAAAAGACTGCAAGGGCATATGGTACGCAAAGGAAATCCGATTTCGGTCAGACTCTATCTTAATCATATTCTTTCTTTAATCGCAAGTACTTTCGGTCTTTTTCTAGCAAATGCATTTGGACGTTTTATAGGATCAGAAGGAACCGCTATAATGACCACTACTAAAAATCTCGTGCTTTTATCAATCTTTATTTTTTTATTAATCTTGATCTTTCGTCTTGCTTCTTCTTTTTCAAAAAGAAAGGGTCAAGCTTTCGACTTATACTTCTATATATTGATATAATAAATATCATCTCTTTTCTTGGGTGCTTTCTCCGCATCTACTTACTTTCTCGCTTTGGTCTTCATTGGGGGGATCTTTTCCAGTCCTATCCCGCGGAGAGATCTCATATCCGGCAGGGGATAAAAAAAGACCAAACCAAGTTTGGATCTCTCGATGTTCCTTTTCTTGTGACCTTTCTTCATAGTCAATGGGCCTGCCCCTCTCTAATGCTCTAATGTCCCCCGGCAGACGAGAATACGATGTGAATTGACCTGTTTTCTTTCGCTGTTGGTGTGGCTTGAAGCCCATCTCATTTTAGTATCTTTTGCCTCTGTGATTCGATTCTAATTCTAGAGGCGGACCCTAGTCTTTCCACTCAGTTTGTCGAACCTTACCTGGATGGAGGGACTCCGCTCTTTTAGATCTAATCTCATGAGTGGTTTTAGCCTCTGGCCATGAATAGTGAGTGGGATTTTCTCTCATAACTCAATTCCCGGTTTGGTTGGGTGGGACCTTTTTCTCTAGTTCCAAAGCGCTGTCCTTAATTGCCTTCCACCGCACCGGCTGCTTCTTTTTCAGGAATTCCTTATTTTTGTTAAGCGTCACGAGCTTACGGGAGATAGAGCGAAGCAAGCCTACACTGGAAGAAACTGTTATTGAAAATCCTGCTCCCTTCATTTTTATAAGTTTAAGCGCATTCCTCGACCGAGTATTTTCACAGCTCGTTACAGATACACTTTGAAATCATACTGAAGAAGAGAAGCGGCAGATCGAATTCCTCCCTTTCGATGCCGAGCTTTCAAGTAGCGTTTGGAATGGCAGGATTCGTCATTTCCTATTTCTTTCCCTCTTTCTCTAGAGATCTAACTAAAAGGTTCAGAAACAGTCGGAGAAGCATAACTTGTCCTTCCGGGTCATAAGCTGGGTATTTGGTCGATCGCCTCACTGCATTTCCACAGAATGGATTTTAAGATAGATATGGTGAAGATCTGTTTAGTGGCCTTTTTTCCCCAGCATCATAAGTTGGTAGATAAGAGAGGTCCCTAGAAGGATAGCTTTCACCAGAACTCCGGGAGGGTGCTTCAAAAACACTGCACTTGGATAGAGAGAATTCTCAGCCTTTGACCCGCCCCAGCATCCCCTACAATCAAGCTCCTATCCATCCGATTCGGTCTCTATATGTATCCCCGTGCTATGTTCTAGTTACGTCATGAGCTCTAGTAAGGATCTCATGGTTGCTAATTTCAAGTCTCGGACTAGAGTCTCTTTAGTCTAGTATCTAAAACCTGCTTTTCTTTTCTCGCTTCCGCGCCCTAATTACACAATTCTAGTGTTAAAGGAAAGGGAAGAGAACTGATTGCCGTCTATGATACAGGTATGAATTAGCTACTCAATAAAAGAAAGTACATCATAAGTCCAATACGACAGGCGCGATTAGACTAGCTTTTGAAGGGGCCTTAAGAAAGAGTATAGGGGCTTATACAATGAATTTGTTCTCCCCTCAGCCCCGCTGGCTTCACTCCACTTTCAGACATTTCTTTGCCTTCTCAAAGAATCATCCTCTTCCGCCCCCATTATAAAGGGCTCTATAAGGCCGGGCATTAAAACAAGAGTTTCCGGGGAATGGTAGAAGAATTTTTCTTTCCATGCATTCCATTAGCGTTCTAAGCTTTCAACTCATTCTCAATCCTTAGACTGGAATTTTGACTTATGGAAATTTCGTATTCAAAGTAGGCTATTCCTTCTGTCTGCCCATTGGCGAGTGTCTTCTTTGGCTAAGTAAGGCATTTCCCTACTCATCATCTCTATCTCGAACCATGCTACCATTCGTTCCGAGTCGCCAAGAGCTAGAACAGCTTCTTCTCCCTCGGGAAGTCAGATAGCAGGAATAGTAGATCCACTACGCTTTGCGCATCGTCATTATATATAACCCCGAAACCGTCATCCCATGCCTATTGGAATATGCGCACCGGTTTCGGCTCCATAGTTTCTGCTAGCTAGGCTTACAAAGATAGGAAAAGCAAGAACCAAGGCTTCTACATAGGCAGCCTCATTTCGGCATAGCTGTCCAAAAACTGAACAGGATATCGAGATTCTCTTAAGATAAAAGGCAGTCCTTCGTCACGAGCTGGATTCGATAAGAAAGTACGCCGTTGGTAGATCGTGAGTCCTGATTCTTAGTCGAAGGGCAGGACCATGGGCAAGAGGTTTCATTTCTATATTATAGAAGATCTGAAGATCTAAGGACCTAGCCATACTTTCTATTCATAATTGAACCAATTTCTTTGTTTTTTCCGAATCAAACCATCTCCAATCTCACTTACCTTCCACTCAAAAAGAAAGACTCTATAGTTAAATTAGAGTGGGGAGGCTGACCCACTAGCACAAACAGGTAGGACTGCGAAGCTTGCATTTCCAATGTACCTACCCACTTCATTAGGTTACGGGGTTCAGAACACAGCGATGAGCTACGGTGGGAACTCTAACTAGGTCTCGATCACGATCTGGATCTTAATATAGGGCATAAGGAACTGGACCAGCGGAATCCACTGCGAAATCGGAAGAGTCAACCGCACTGGCTATGCCCTCTCCTACCCTTTTTTTGTCCTTCTCCTGTCTTCGCCTCTTGGGGAAAATTCTCCGTCACTTTCAATGCTCTCAGTTCCTTTCTTCCCCGAGACAATCTCTCAAATACACATTATGACCCGTTTTTCTTTTCTTTTCTGATTCCTCTCAATGAAATTTGCCATGTTGCACTAAGTTACTTACGGATGTATGCATGCGGTCCGGGAACACTTTGGGGTGAACACCCATCCGAACAAGTAGGGTCAATAGTTCAGCATTTAGGCCGTAACATTTAGCAACAAAAAAATCTTTAACCCAACAAGTGCTCTCCGAACCAAGCTAGATAGTCTCCTATCACTAGGCTCACCAACCAACCTGGACTTTTCTTCTTATTATTCCTACCGGATATAAAAAACCATAAGGATTGTTTCCAGCCATGAGTTCCCATATGACATAAGCGTTCTTGGGTGGGCTGGACCATTCCATCCAATTTTTGAGAAGGGGCCCAATTTCGTATTTTTTGGTCGGCTCGGCGATAGGCTTCGCTTCTACGACTGCCTCCCCAGCCGTTGCAAACACTGAGCGAGAACGGTAAGGGGCGCACAAAGAATGTCGTTGCGCGGGGATGCGATTCGACAAGCCGGGGCAAACAAAGCCGGCCGGCCCTACCGGATTAGGAATGCGAAGGCCTCTCCTTTTTTCTCATTTTGTTTGAGGCGGGCCGAATAGAGAATGAAATGCAGAAATCGGGGAAGGAGGCCTTTTTTTTTGGTTTAAGGGCTGCTCACCCTACCGAAGTACCAAAGGCTTTCGTTCTTATCGATCCGGGTTTCGATCTATATGACCTCCGTGCGGTACAAAGTACACCTCTTCCGTAGAGGCAGGTAGTAACCTAACCTTTAAGAGTCTCTGTTCAAGGGGGAGCCCTCTTATCTATCAATGGAAGGATCTCCGTGCGTGGCGTGATAAGGAATCCTAGAAAAGATCGATTGAGACTCCCTCCCCGGTCCCACGAAGATCTCTACATACTTGTCTGTTCAGCCCAGGACAACTGAGATCTTCTGGTCTGCGTGCGTGGGAGCAGCTCAAACAAGGAAGAGTCTGGTCTGAATTCGGGCCCGGCCCGCCCGTCTGCTGCTAGGTTCGGGAATAGCGCCATGCGAGGGCGCCGCTATGCCCCTTAATGAATCGAATGGTCCTTCGACCTTCATTTGATTCCGACGGCCGGCATAGATCTCATGAAACCCGCCCACTATTACTACGAAAAAAGCCCTGCCCTTTTCCTTCGCTACTAGGGAGAGTAAGCAACCTCTATTAGCGCCGGACCTTGAGTCGAATTGATCGTGTCATGTGCAACGTCCATCAATGATGGTTCATTAATGTCCATTGATTTAGACTCCTTCCCCCTTCCCAACTACGAATAAGATCGAGAGGAGCCCGAAAGAAAGCCCCCCAACCAAGAACGGAAACGGAAGCCTTTCTATTCATTCCCCATTCTCTCTTAAATAAAGCTCGCCCTCGAGCCCTGGGCAGGTCGGCCGGGTCTTTCCCTGTTGTTCTGTTTCCGCCACGAGAAAGACGCACGGAAGAGGTATGCCCAGCCCGCGTAGGTTGCTTGCAATGAGAGTTTCTGTTGTCTCGGTAGGGAACTGTATGATCTTTTCCCCTATTGTATTGAATCAATAAAAAAAAGAGGTCAGTGCTACGGCCCCCTATTGTTTGATCCAATATTGACCGGGGACGAGCCCCGACTTCCATAGGTCCTTGGTTTGACCTCCCGTAGTGGTCCTTGCTTTTCTTTTAATAAAGCGGAGCGGGGCCAATTTCTCGTACTTGATCAATGTGTCCCCCTTTCGTCGAGTGCCCCGCCCGGTTCACTGGGCTGTTGGCCTACCAAGCACTTGCCCGCTGCTCTTGCCGCCCGCTTGACGGGCGGAGCGCTCGTTATCCTTACTGTTCTCTCTGCTGGGGCCCACTATTGCTCGAGCCATAAGCTATGGCAGCTCCAGCTCGCAACCACGGGACGGGGGCCCGCCATGCGAGGCCAGAGTGGGCTCAGCGGTCAGCCCCCATTCGAATTACGTTAGGGGGTCTTTCGCTTTTGCCAGATCTAGAGAGATACTACGAGTCCTCCGTCCCAGATTCTATCGCCGCGGCCATCTGGTTCACCGGTACTACCAAAAAGTCTCATGCTTACGTTACTGTTATTGATGGTTTAATTATCTTGGACCCCGGTCGTGCTTCTGGTTTCCATTCCCATCATCATATTGATGGTAAATCTCCTCGTGCTCCGCCATAAGAACTTGGAGTCCGTATCATAGTGAAGGTAAGGTAACGCTGTGATTCTTGCTCAAAAAACAGACCGAACGCGTTCGAGTTATTGGCTCGTCCGACCCGGCAGCATTCATGAGTCGCTCGTTCAACTGTCCCTCGGAGACATGGTCGAGAAGTACCATGCATCCCCCCGTCCTTTATTTATCTCGGTCCCACCCAGCAAGATAGGGCTCAGCCAAAAAACGTGAACGACCCTCCGCGAGCCTTCTTTTTTTAGTAAAGTCAAGCTTTGGCTCTCTAAAGACTAAAGAAATGGATCAAAAAAAGGGGAGACTTCTGCAACGGGCTATGCCACCCAAACCAACTGAGGGAAGTCGCATCCGTCCCATCGCAAGCACCTACAATGTCATGATCACATTGGTTTACCCTTTTTTCTTTGGTAGTTCAACGGACGGTCGCCCCTCCAACAAGAAAAGGTATAAATATGGAAACTTCTCTGCCATTTGAATCGGAGAATTTATGGAGGAAATCGGGTTTTAAATTTCCAGAAACCACACGATTATATAGCCAAAGGGAATAGGCCGCGCCTAAAATCATCCCAAGCGCTGCTAATGTGGCTACTAAGCTATTTCTTTGGAAAGCTCCTACTGAGATGAGAAATTCCCCGATAAAGCTGCTAGTACCAGGTGAACTCATATTGGCCAAAGTAGAAGAGAAGAAAATGGTAGAGAGATTCGGCATGGTGCTCACTAAACCTCCGTAATATCTAACAAGTCGAGTCTTATGTCGGTCATATAGAACACCAACACATAGAAAAAGGGCTGAAGGAACCAGTCCATGACTTAACATCGGTAGAATGCTACCTCCAATTCCCTGTATGTTCGATAGAGCCAAAGATTCCCCCCACTGATCAGAGTACGCCGATTACCCCCCGAACCGTACAAGATATTTACCATCTATCATACGGCTTTCTAACTTCACTTCTTTTTCTGGTCGTTCCGTTCTGTCGATCGATGGTAGTATAAGAGATCTGTAACCCCCCAAAGTTATTTACATAATGGTTCCTGCTTCCTACCCATAGTTAGTATGTATCCCCCCGTCATACTAAAGTATCACATCGTAGACCCCCACCCCAACTCTATCTTCCTTATCAGTGAACCGGAACATAGTGCATAGGTACTCTTCAATGCAGCGGGGACGAGACGACGTGATATAATACGATCACGTACAGAAGCCCTTCGGCTCGGCAATATGGAACCTCTCGTGACTGCCTTTATGAGGTCCTATCGGGATAGGTAGGCCCAAGCCTTTCCCTTCCCCCGACCGAGCAGTAGTTCCCCACGGCTGACAAATAGGAGTTTAGGCCGTAAAAGAAAGGCACCGGCCCCCCCACCACTGGGATTTAGCTTTCCTTATCTACGTGCGCACTGCGTCAGCACTGGCGAAAAAGAGGTTGGCTTTACTGAAGTGAAGAAGAAGGGGCGGGCCCTCCGAGTGTCATATTTTGGCCGAGTTTACCGTACTTCCGGCCCTTATGTTACGCGATCGTAATCTTTTGTTACGTTCCACCGCTGTTACGCCAGAAAGAAAAGGTTCCACACGAGCTCTCGTTCTGCGGCGTGATGGCAGGACCGATAGGAGATTGGCGCCGGGTGTATGTAGATAGGGTCAAATCTGCAGGGGTTATGAAAATACATAGGCCCCTTCCCTTATCTTTTGGATGAATGGGGTGGTTTAGAAGGCGCTTTCCGATTTACGGTCCCTCGGAGCGAAGGGTTAGGCAGGTAGTATGGGCCCTCTGACTTCCAGCTATGTGCTGTGCGGCTCCCGCGAAGCGAATGAAGGGAAGCTCCTCGAGCTTTCTCCGCCAGCAGCTTATGTAGTGGTCGGCCTTGCTCCCTAAGCTTCGCTTCTTGTAGTCGGCCCGTAATGCCTCCCTTCATTTGCTTGCCCCCTTCCAGCTCAGAATGCTTGGCCCCCGCGCCAAGTCGATCTTTTAGGCTTGGCTTCGTCCCGGAAGCAAAGCTTCTACGACGAGTCGCTTCTCCCCTTCTCTACTCTCTCTGGCGGAGAAAGCTCGAAGAGCTTACGGGTGAGCTTACGCTTACTCTCAGCCTCTTTGATTGGTAGGCGGGCGGGCCCCCTACTTAAGATTCCATTCATAAGGCTAATTATCTCTTGTTGTGACGCTTTGGTTAGGCCGACTACTAGAGGCTACTTTTAGCTTATATAGTGGCCCTTCTACTTTGGTGTAGTTGTAGTTTGTATTGGTACTGAATGAATATATGCGAGCAGTATAAGCCCTTTTCCGGCCTGGGAAAAGCAGCGAACTCTATAAGCTAGGGCCTTTGTTCACCTTTGGATACGAAGACTATTCCGTTATCAGCGGAAAGCCGCCTTAGAGATTGAACGTCGACTTATCTTATTACCTCTAAAACAGCGCTGATAGCTTGTAGTGAACAGCCCACTTATGAAAGCAAGCGAAAGCAGCCTTTGGTACTTAAGTAGTTAAGGTTTGGAAGCCTTGCAACTATGATAGAAAGCCGTTTGCCACCCGGGGCGCCTTCGCTTTTCTTTTGAATCAAAATAGGTCGCGACTCTTGTATTTTAGTCGGTCGGGGGAAGCTAGCGCTTATACGAGAGCTCCGCTTCCTCGTCTTGCTTCTGGCAAAGCTTTGACTTTGCTTACTTCTCTCGCGCTTGCTTGCGAGAAGGCTTTAAGTCCTTTTCGCTAGGTCCAAAAAAGCTTCCGAAAAAAGGGAAAGATCTGATCCAAGAGAAATCCCGCATATTGAGCGCAGCTGATATGCGGCTAGGGCTAGGCGATCATATCATGCCATAAAAGACTTGTATATGTATAGAGAGATAGAATAGATGTTCATGGATAGATAGACATTCCATTGATTCTGAGTTTTGGGGCTGAAAAAGCTCGTCGATCCAAATGAATCATTCTTCTGCTCTCTCTTCGCCCCCCCGCCCCGAAACTGACGCACAGGGCCCATTCGCTTCGCGCGCGGGAAGGCAAGGTGCGGAGCGGTTCATGAGACCGCGGCGGTGTGGAGCAGCCGCGACACGAAGTGTCGCCTTACCTTAGCTGGATCTCGCTGGTGCCACCTAAACGGTAGGTAGGCGGCGGATGTGTGACGTTTGGAGTTGTCGTTCGTGCACCTGTCCCCAATGGAAGAATGAGTGATCCGTTCCCCTGCAGATCATGGCCTTACCACTCGGTCCCCGATGGCCAGCGGGGGATTCGGTATAGCAGCTCACGTTCGTTTGCGCTGCGCGTTCCCGCTGGACTGGACACGTGTTAGCTGTAGGAAGTATGGTTCCGAAAGTGACTTCGGTTCGCCAGTTCAGGCTCAACTCCTCGCTTTACGTTAGCGGACCTACAGGTCGGGCCGGGGCTCTGCGCTCTTTCTTTCTGTGTGGGACGATGCCGGGGAGAGAAGGGAATGCGTCGAAGCGGCGAACAACAAGAAATTTTGGCTCCATGAGATGAGCCCAGTGCATTGGACCGATGGATAAGAGAACTGAGCTGGCCCAAAAAGCGCTTAGGCGCTCTACGTACGATGTAGACTCCATCAGATACATATCGATTTCTTTCTGATGGATCAAAAATAGATAGTTGTCTCATCAATAGATAGAAATAGGAGATTTCCCCTTATTATTGATAGATTCCCTCTCTATCCATTCCTACTCTTTTGATCAGATCAGCAGGCTTCTATCAATCGATTTTCAAATCGCACGTTCATATCGCTTTTCGTTCATTTTCGCCACGCCAACATAGCCATCAAAATAAGAAGCAGGCGAAGCAGCTAGAAGCTGACGCTTCTAGCCCTTTCATTATTCTTATTCACGAATGAATTGGGAAAGCCAACAGAAAGATTCGATTCTGACTTCGTGGAGCCGGTGCTGCTGTTGCCTGCGCGTAGGGCCGTCTTCCACTCCCGTCCCGGGGCGCTAAGGGGCTTTTGTTTTTGGAACAAACGGCAGTCTTTTGCTGACGCCTCGAATCAAGCTTTTATTGCGACATGCTATGTTTTCTCCCCTATTGCTAGTAGGTTGATGGGTCGCACGCCCGGCACACATGTTTTGGCCTTGTGTGTCCATAACTCAAAATAGGTGACCTAACGGCCGCCGCCCGACTAAACATACCAATAGTCACCAGATTCATATGGGCTACTGAGGAGTAAGCAATGATCTTCTTAAGATCGATCTGTCTTGAAGTGGTCAAGGAAGTATATATTATAGCAATCGCGCTTGGAGTATAAATGAAAGGAGTGGAAAAAAGTGTCGCTTCGGGAAACATGGGTATTGAAAATCTTAAAAAGCCGTAGGTTCCCAATTTTAAAGGAATTCCTGCCAAGATGACGGATCCTGCCGTAGGTGCCTCTACATGAGCTTCGGGTAACCAAATATGAACTGGTACCATAGGCACTTTGACGGCGAAAGAGGCGAAAGAAGCAATCCATAGAAAGATTTGGCGCCGCTCACTAAATTCTGTGGTTAATGATATTTGTAAATCGGTGGTTCCTGTTTGGAGAAGAATCAAGAGAATAGCTAATAGCATAAAAACAGATCCAAGTAAAGTATAAAGGAAAAACTGATATGCTGCCTTGATCTTTCTTTGTCTCGAACCCCATACCCCTATAATAATGGTAGAGTAAGGGGTGGCCCCAAAGCGGAATTGACCGGTGGTGGTTGGTCGAAGCTCCAGTAGGTAGCCACTCCCTTCTCAGGGAACCGTACGTGAGACTTCCGCATCATACGGCTCTGTCCCGAGCTTCCGTCGTCGGCCCTTGTCATTAGACCACTATCTATGCATGTATTTTCAGCCTGGGACTCTCGAATCTTTTGCTTCTCGGGTGGTGGCGAACAATGCAGCTTGCGTTGCGGGAGATGCCTGCCCGTAGGGCCCGGCCTGCTTCTCGCCCGAAAGAACCGCTCACTAGCTAGCCGAACTAGTGGGGCCCTATCTGGAGACATACTGAAAACCATGCCTTTCGAACCGAACGCAAGGCCCGTCTTCCAAATCAAAAGAGAAATGGGCTCGTTGGGAAGAAAGATAGAGTGCGGCCTGTAGAGCACATGTAACGCACAGTCGGGTTGTTCACGCAGGGGATCTCTCTCTATCTATAGATAGAGAGAGGGAGATGTGAAAGTAATAGCCTTCTGTTTTGGTCGCCCCCCGACTTACGGCCTTTACGCTACTACTACTGTGATGTGAGCGGTTCAAATGAGTTTGATCTTTCCCAATTTTCCTGGCCGGAACTTGTACGCAGCACTTATACGTAGGTGCATGCATAAAGGTTTGGAACTCTTTTCTTATCTGAATCTTAAAGACAGGACCCTAATTCTCGAACCCTCTGCCGAGCCCCGCCCCCGCATTCCCTTTTGAAGGGGGCCAAAGAAAGGTCTCCACCTGTTGCCAACAGTCTTTCTTCGGAATTATACTGAACGGGTCGATCCTCACCTCTCCTTTGTTTTAGCAACTTATCCTAAGGTCTCCTCGCCAAGAACTCCCCGGCGACGACAGAGGAACCAACCCGCCTGCTGTGGCGGGGCGGCTTTTTTCTTTCACAATAAGACCTGGACGATTATCCCTACCCTCGGTAGCTTACGAGTTTACGTCCATCCCTGGTCGGGTACAGTTTCCTTTCGATTTCTCCCTTGTAGCCGTTACCCGAATTCGCGCAAGTGTGTCCACACCCCCCAAACTGACTTGACGAGGAATCCATTCTCGCGAACAAACACAACCCCTACACACACCTAGGAGCACCCCGCTTCCTGCGTATCCGCTCTGAAGACCTTGGCGAGTAGGCGGTCGAGGTCTGCGAGGTACCTTACTCGGAGTACCTTCCCAAAAGGAATACCAGGATTATCCAGTCTTCCTCAGAGATAGATCGGAGAAAGAGGAGATCTAATGAGAAGAAATACCCGGGGTAAAGAAAGTTTCGTATAACCATTAGCGATTGTCGCTCTTGTCTTATCTGCTGCTGTCTCTGACTGACGAAGAAGGAGTCCCACTACACGAAAAGAAAGAAGGTAGGATCCCGGATGGTTGATGGTTGAATGAATGTGACCAAAATGGCTTTTGTTGACAGAGAGATTGTCTAAGACAAGAAGAAGGAGCAGTTCTCTTTCTCTTTGAACGAATCCTCTTAGAGAAGCCTGTGACCGAATCCCCAGCTTTCGCCTTGAAGGAGTAGGCGCCGTTGGAGTCAGGGTATTAGCCTTTTCTTCAACCATGTCTTGAAAGATAGCCAGTTCATGCTAGAACTCTAGTTACCGTTTCAGGACTGGGCTAAGAGAGACTGGAGTAGTTAAGAAGCAAGGAAAGGAAGAAGGAATGAAGACCCTCGTAGACTTTAAAGCGAGTGAATGCCCGGTTTAGACCATCGGGGAGGAAGCAGAAGCTTCAGTTGTTCACGAATCCGTTTCAGGTTCTCGGGAAGAGGCGAAGGAATAGAAAAGAAGGGGGTGGACAAAGAAGCTGCGCCGGATCTTTCCTGTGCTTTTTGCCTTACCCGATACGCCCCTCCCTAGTAGTAGGGCTAGTAGCAGTAGTAGTCTAAGCTCTTTCTTTGCAAGAATAGGAATAGGGTGCAGCTTACTCTTTGAGGAAAAAGAGGGTGTTTTCAAGTTTAGAAGAATAAGTTGTGCTAGAATCAGCTGTTACAGAATAGGCAGCTATAGAATCAGCTCGGTCCTTTCTTCCGTCATGCTTTTCATAGCTATCCGATGATCCTGTAACTACCGCTGCCGATGCCGAAGTGCTTCCTTCATCGTCTCAAGTAGGGGATTAGGCCCTCGAAGACACTGGAAATCCCCAGAGTCTTCTTCGAATCAGGAAGTACCAGCAGATAATGAAGTAGGTCTGGTCACTCGAGCAGAATTTATGGCCATGTTAGATAGAAAGAACCAGGCCGTAAATGAGTACTTCGATAAAGAGATTCAAGAAATGACCGATAGATATAAACGAGAAACTGAACGAATATAGGAGTCATGGAGGCGTGACTGTGAAACCATACTTTGGTACAGTTAACAAGGTTGGTACCTATGTTAGCGAAAGGACACATCGAGAGGCTGATAGAATTCTCTTAGATATAAACCAGTCTTCTTAGTAAGGCAAGGTGCGTAGCGGGAATGACTAGTCCCACACCCACGGACATCAGGAAGAGAATCGGTTGTTGATTGAATCAAAATAGGTTGCTCTTTAACTTCCGGTCATCTTCTCCCGTTGGTCGAGCCTTTAACCCTTGACCTCTCAGCGATCTGTATCTCGTTCCATCGATCGTAAGTGACGGGCTCTTTTCTCATTTGGTAGAACAAGTGGGAAAGCGAGAAGGGCTTTAGCCTAGCTTCTATCAGGAGCTTGTTGCTTCAACCCGGCCTGTCAGTGCCCAGTAGAGAGCAGAATGAAAGCCTTTGGATGGGAGATTTGAAGCTAGGGTTCATCTTGCATGTGTTAAGCATATACCTAGTTGAAGTAGCATGATGTAAGCTTCTTAGTGCTTTTCAAAAACCATTTGCTTGCAACGCCTTGAGTGGACAGGTCAGACAGACAATACGCCCACTAGATCCTTCATACTATTACTAAAGTACACTTAACACTCATCCAATCTTGAAAGTGGAGTAGAATCAATCGCATACCTTTGGGCATACCTTGAATCTAGCCTACAATCCTTTCTATCTTCTCTTAGGAAATTTATAGTTAGAGGGAAAGATCACTCTAGACATACCATGCATCGGGGAAGGACGCAGGTCGTATATAAAGATATACGATACCACCAGGCGAACAGTCTTATTCATAAGTAGAAAGAGTCCCAAGAGAGGTAAATCAGCAAAGGATAAAGAAGCATTTTCCCGGTAGGCTAAGCCAGAAAGAGAGAAAGAGAAAGAGAGTGTTAAAAGGCTACGCACCTTGGTCCAGAGCGAGGCAAGCAACGGTTGGTTGAACCCGTTCTCTTTAGTTCTATTTTCACTAATCCGAATCGGAGGGTAGAGGATTTTTTGAAACTTTAGCTAGGCTCCTCGAACCAGATTCTATTAGATCTTCTACCGTAATTCGCTAATCTCGATGAAAGAGCAGGTAACTACATAAGGCAGCTTTCCCCGCTCTGTCTTCTCTACGATTTACGGGTACTTACTCGTGCACGGAATCAAACAAGAGGAGGTTGCCTGATGGGACGTCGGCCTTTGCTAAGGACTTTGCCGAGTTGGGTTCTTTTAAGAAAGAAATTGCCAGGTAAGATGCTGACTTTGCCGGGCCCTCTCTTCTAGTAGCCTAGCGCTTCCCCTAATTCTAGTTAGTGACTTCGCTACCTTTACAGAAGACCGAGAGTCAGGTCAGGGGCTACCTTATTAAGCCATGCTCCTACTAAACCACCAAGACGGGAGAATCTGTATCTGATCCTTCCTGGGAGGAGACAGAGTCACAAAAGGAGTGACTTCTGTGCTGGAACGTTGGGACGTCGCCCAGAGAGCCTCTGACAAGACCTCATGCCAGACCCTTGGGTTGTCAGTAAGAATCTTATCTATTATGGTTTTAAGAACCTTATTAGATGACTCGGCCTGACCATTAGCCTGAGCATAGTAAGGTGTTGAATGAATGATCTCAAAACCATAAGTCAAGGCAAATTCCTTCACTTGTTCTCCTGTGAAAACTGAACTCTGGTCAGCAGTCTGTGAGATGCCGAATCTATGAATGATATTCTCTTTCAGGACCTTAATGACTATTTCCTGAGTCACATTCTTCAAGGATATGGCTTCCGCTCACTTGGTCAAAAAATCCGTTGCAACAAGTATGAACGTATGTTGCTTGCTTGATGGTGGATATATCTTACCAATCAGATCCACTGCCCATACACGAAATGGCCATGGTTTGACTATAGGATGCAATTTCTCAGCTTTGTATGGATATGGATCCATTTCAACTAGTTCAAATAGAGCTATTCTAGCCTTTGAAAGCTGTCCAATCGGTCCTTGCTTCTTACCGCCCCGTGGGTCCTTCAAAGCCGGGCAAGATCCGACTTGAAATCGAGCTACAAGGCCTCTAGAAAGCTCACTACCTTCACTCGCGCGCCTCACTGTGCCCTAGGGAGAAGGGAGCTTACTCCGCTTAGAGAGACTGGAGTAGGGGCCTAGCGGTAGGGAAAGAGTGAACACGGGGCTATCTCCGATCCGGAAAGGACTTTCTCGATTCGCATCTTCAGATAAAGCAGGCGAAAGTCATTCCTCTCGGCTGAGGGCTGCGAACGTATAACAAGGGGTTAAGGAGAGCTCATTAGCCTAGCGGTCAAATTCTGTCTATAGAACCGGGGGAAAGCCGGTGACTTCATTAGTTTGGCATCAGTCGCAAAGTAAGAAAAGAAAGAAGCAAGTGTAGCGACCTTACTTCCGAGCTTAGCTCTTTTCAGCTTTGATGGCCGATGTTCTTGCTTTAGTTGAATCAGCCTATAGTTCGAGAGAGAGTATGACAGTCTTTCTTATCTCAATTCGGTTCTTTCTTCGAGCAACATGGGTCTTTTGGGTCCGTTTCCGATCAAGATAGAACAATTAGAGACCAAGACCGAGCTTTCGGTGAGAACTTCCCGAGAGTCGCTGGTATGGCAGCTTTGTGGAGGGGAGCAATGGCAGAGATTCCGCCTAAGGCTAATTAGCCTTGTTTTGGCGTCTATATTGTGTTTTTCATGAAGATTATGTGAACGAATAGAAAGGTAAAAGAGGTTATTCAGTAGCCATCGCGGGTTTCATTACTTTTCTTCCATCCCGTCGTGGCCTAAAAAGAAGGCTACGGAGAAAGAAAAAGTCTATTCAAAACTTGAGATTCCCGAAGGATCTGACTCTTACTCGAGAAAATCGAGGACTTGCAACTGATATCCAAAGGGGCTCTCATTTGCTATTTCTGCGGGCTAACCAAAAAGGGAAGATTTAGGATATTCCAGACTCTCTTGTGCTAGGAGCTGGCCCAACTCGTACCTATCCGCGCGGGCTTATACTCGAGAAAGCAAAAAGAATAGATATTCGAAATAGATATCTATTTCTTAGAATTCCCTTCTCTTTCCTTTTGATTCGGGAACTTAGGGTCTGCAGTGCCCTCCACGACCACCGGAAGCAAGGCTTGCTGGAAGCGGTAAATGTGCTGTAGATTTTGATCTTATTGTTGGATTGGCTAATCACCTTTTTCTCTCTCCCACAAGAAAGCCCGATTCTTTCTTTTAAGATTTCCAAACAAGCTTCTGAAAGCGAGAGCAAGGGGATCGAAAGAGGGCTCATTTCATTCTGACTGGAATGAGAGTCTTTATTCCTTCTAAGCTTTTCTTTTCCCTCTTTTACGATTCTTGCCATCTTAGCAAACGCGAGATTTCCTTTGGCTACCTTAGGGTTGACCTTTTCACTCGTATACTTCCTTATGAGCCAGAAAGCGAAACTCCTTTCTTTTGTTCTAATGGCGGATCCGTTCAAACACTCGTTTCCGGTGATTCATCCATATCTAAACAAAAGGAGCTAGGTTGACTTCCGTCTAGGCAGTTGACTTCTCTCAAAACAAGGCATTTCCCTTGAAAGAAAGTCTCAGAGTCAAATGGGATCAAAGAAGTCCAGTTGAAGTCCGAGGCCTTTTTTAAGCCCTATTATTTATAGCATTTGAATAGACCGACCCTTTCAAAGAGCCTCTTCTCAACCTTCTGTGAACTTTTCTTCTCTTATGTGATTTTTGTTACTTTCTTTTTCAAAGTAATTGAGATCAAAGAGAGTCTCAGTCTAGTCACTCAATCAACCAACCACTTATAAGTTCAGTCTCTTACCATCAAAATTTCTGCATGCGCAGCAGCACCAACTATAAGAAAAGCATGGTAGAGTGTATCCCTCCACTTCATTACAGGTCTACCGAAGGTGGGAGATTTGGGCACGGTTGTCATTGACAGATTTTCAAAGTATGCTACATTTATCGCGTCCCTAAAGTATGTATCCGCAGAAGAAAGAGCGCAGCTATTCTTTAAAGATTTGGTGAAATACTCGGGGATGCCACAAGAGAGAGTGAGTGACTGATCCTGGGAAGAAGTGAGATTACCAGCAGAAGCTGATCGCCTTAGAACCATAATAAAAGAGGTGGGGAAGTGAGCTCTACTCTAAACTCTAAAGGCTGCTCTGCCACGCCACCTAGGAGATAGGATACCTTTTCCTTTTAGTCCGATTCGAGAGCTGGATCTTTTCGAAGACCGGCTTACTAAGCTTTTTCAGCAGTCAGTTTTCGACTCTCTTTGAGAATCGACTTCTTTTCTTATTCCTGATCTAAAACTAAAGTCAGACAGCTTCATAATTTCATATTCAATATCAGCTGTCGCATATCGGCAGTTCTTCTTATGTATCAATGGAAGAGAGGAAAGAAAAGAACTCCTCCGTCATAGGCGGCGGAGGGTTTCGATATATGTTTCTTCTGTAAAGGGAAGCACAAGGCTCACAGGCAATCTCATAGTAAAGGGTTAAAAACCTCGTTTTCTATAAACAGACTTTGAGACTCTTAGAACAAAAACTAGATCACACCTAGTGCTTTTGGTCGTTTTAAAAAACGAAGGAGTAGGCCGAGGAACTCTACCTTACAAACTTGCCTGCCTCCGCTCAACCTTTCTGCCCCACCTATATTAATATAGGAGGATTTTTTCCTATTCAGTAGATTTAGACGACTTTGCTAATGCTAGAAGAGAG